CAAAAATATTTATAATTCTTGCCTTTCTAAGCCGCAAACTTTCCCGAATTTCATTATCAAGGATGGCAAGTTATTCAGGCGTGCCAAGAATAATCACTCACTTTCATCCGAGTTCTTATGGAAGGAGGTTGTACCTTTTGAGCTACGCGAGCAGGTGATCAACGAGAATCATGCGGAACCCACGGCTGGACATCTCGGCGTTTTTAAAACATACCATCGTATTGCCTTGCGCTACTTTTGGCCTGGTATGCACCAGGACGTGGTGAAGTTCGTTGCCTCCTGCGAGAAGTGCTTGTCTTACAAGGCTCAAAATCACCAAACCTTGGGAGCAATGGGCCGCCCGAAGCAGTGTTCTAGGCCATTGCAAACGATTTCAATTGATTTGATGGGCCCCTTGCCTGTCACTAGGAAGCAGAACACTTATATCTTCGTAGTCACATGCTGCTTCTCGAAATATTGCCTAATTTTCCCATTAAGAAGTGCTACTGCCACTACAGTCACGAAGTTACTGGAAGAGTCTGTTTTCCTCGTCCATGGTGTCCCTCAGACCATATTTTTGGACAATGGCGGCCAGTTTATTTCGAAGGTCACTGAGTCACTTTTCCATCGTTATAAGGTCCCTAACGTGTTCTTCACGCCAAAGTACACCCCTCAAATTAATTTGGTAGAACGACATAATCGTTCAATTATCACGTGTATCTCAACTTTCGTGGACAACGATCATCGCAGTTGGGATACATATATTCCGAAGGTTCAGTTCGCCCTCAATAATTCGGTGAGTGAGGCGACTGGTTTCACTCCATCCTTCCTGGTGTTCGGCAGGGAGCTCGTTACATGTGGCTCGCATTATTTAGATAACGATTTAGGCGATGAGGTTTTATTCCTTCCCCGTGACATCTACGCGGAGGATTTGGGTTGTCTTAAGGAAGTTTTCGATACTGTAAAGGCCAAATTGTGGCATGCTCATGCTAAAAACTCAACCCACTATAACCTTCGGCGCAAGCCTATGGAATTTAACATTGGTGACACTGTAATGAAACGCGCATATGTTTTAAGTGATAAGGATAAGTTCTTTAGCAAAAAACTTGCGCCAAAATTTATTAAATGTCGCGTCATCGGTAAAAAAGTCACCCCTAGTTTACATCCTGGCTGACATGTCTGGGAAAGATATTGGCACCTGGCACATCAAGGATTTGAAATTAACAGGACACAATACTTAGTCATATACGTATACACTTTTTTTTTAAAGTGTGTACTTCCCCGTGTGGTGTCGGGTTAGAATAGCACCACCCCATTTCTTCCTGTGGGTGTCGTAAAAGTCGACTAAGGGATAGGGTAGTAGTGTGTTGTGGGAGATGGGCTAGCAACCATCACTGCAACATCACAAGATCTCCATGTTACACCTACAAGTACACTTAATTAAGTTGCATGTGTTCTGCTTGTCACTTAGGAATACACTAGCGTTATATTTATATATATACATGGTGCTCGTTTTACCCTGGTCACACCTTTACGTCTTTAGCTCTAGGTATTCGTATGGGTCTTCCAGTCTAGCCGATGCTGGAACACCTTGCCAAATGACAGGATGCGTCAACTACCCTATTGATGTTCGTTGACGCTGATATAATCGCGTGAAGTATGAGAGATGTTGTATAAAAGGATAATGCGAATACATAACAATTTAGAGCGGATTTTATTAATTAAGAGTAATAAAATCCTTATGTAGCGCGCGGGGTAACGTAACGTTGCACGTACATGTATGCATAATTATAATTAAACGGTTTATTAAAATTAAATAAACATTTAATAAACTAAATAAAAATAAATTAATAGTTATTAACAAAAATAATTCTATAATTAACTTAGGTATCCTATTAATAAAACAAATCAGTAAACTAAGAGAACGAATTAAATAATAAATCAAATATTAAAATATTGTATTTCGAACAAACACTCTGACGCTTCGTTACTCTATGCGCCTTGCAACTCTCGCGTCAGAGTTTTACCCGGCCGGTATTATTCCACGGCGTCGCGCTCCCGACCATTCTCCGCCCGAGCGCCCTGGGAGGCGCACACTACCACTGCAGCCGCGTTCACAAGCTCTGCTTTGTGTCCTCGTACGCGCTTGCAAATTTTAATCCCATTTGGAAAAAGTTTAAAATAATATAATAATTCCGGCACTGTGGCCGTATAGTTTTTTCGTTAATTCTCGTCACCGAGACCTCCTTATCGTCTTGCACCCCGTAAGGGTAAGTGTTGAAACGTTACCTAGTTTTAAGTAGTGAAAGTGTTTTATAGGTAGTGTAATTTGATCATGCCAGGCTGTTTGCTTTTAGCTATTTAATTGCCACGTTATTAGTGTTATTTGCATGTAAGTAATGTATGTAGCCGCTGTGCGCGTTGGCAAAAGTACCGTTACAAAATGGCGTCTCATACATTTCGCACCGCGATCAAATATCGCAAGTCACCATCATGTTTCAACCAATGCACAGCCTAAATTAGTTATCCTGGTACATTTAAACAGTATTTTACACTTGCCGTAATTTTAATTCATGTGTATTTTAATTGCGCCTCACCGCTATGACGCTTGCCTTCCATTCCGCCTTGTAACTCCGTTCTGATTATGAACACCCGCCAGCTACTCTCTGTGCTCCCATCTACTGCTAGCCTGCGATATACCGGGGGTTCATAATCGGCGGCATTTTATTACCTGGACCTAAATTTGGACGACGTTGTTTCCAGGGTGCAATTTTACGACTACAACCGTGGCGGTCGCCCCTTTTTTAAGAGGGCCTAGGCCTCCCCCTCGACGCCGCCACCGCCACAGCCAGCTGCCCACGGCGCTCCCCGTGAACAGTCCAACCCCCCGGCCCTGCTCGACCACCTCGCGGCCACATAGGGGAGTACCTGACCCTGCCAGTGAAGCCAGACGGGCACTTTTTTTTTAAAATTATCGGAACCACGCCCACGACCTTTTCTTTTACCAATATACAATTTTTTTTATGACTGGTTGTTGCCTTATTTAAACCCCGACCGCCACACCGTCTAGTATGGGAGGGTCGTACGTGTCCTCCTCTACTTCTGATGCTGCTTTTATTCGACCTCTGAGGCGTAGGGTCCCCTCTTCGTCGACGTATGTGCTCAGGTGGCCTAGTTTGTCTTCGCCTCCTGGAACACTTCCGTTGGCGATTCTCTTGAGCTCCTTCGTGAAGCTTTCCCGCTGACTGGCTTGCACCCACAGTTGTTGGGCTCTTATATGATGCTGGTATTCCTACAAGCGATGAGACAGTAGGTGTTGCCCTTTTCTTCTTGGTGGGGGTGTTGCGTCGGTTTGTTCTTTGCCAGCCAGGGACGCTATCTTGTCTTGCTCTGTTGCGTTTACGCCCAGCCTTCACCACGTGCTTGTTTGGTCTGCACATGTCGATGAATAGGAGGACTCTCGCTGTCGCCCTTATGAGGCGAATCCATTTTGAAAATCTTTCTATTTGTGGCAGATGTGTTGTTGGCGAGTCTTCGTTTTTAACTGTGATGTTACATATTTCTCGTTCTTCCCCGGTGTCGTATTGTGTCGTTTTCTCTTCCTGCGGCCATTCTGCCGGTGGACGTTGCAGAAACGGGGGCCCTCGGAACCACCGGTGCGACTCGTTGAACCTTTCTGGCGTGGTTCGGGTCGCGTCGTCTGCCACGTTTTCTTTAGACGGTAGCCAACGCCATTCGTTCTTTTTGGTCGTATCTTCTATCTCCGCCAGGCGATGAGCGACGAAAGCTTTGTACGCGCGAGGCTCTGACCTTATCCACACTAGTGCAGTACGAGAGTCGCACCAGTATGTCTTGCCCGCTATATCGTCATCGTGCTCATTGATCACGGTCTGCGCAAGACGAGCTCCCAGTAGTGCCGCTTGTAACTCGAGCCGTGGTATGGAGACTGGTTTCAGTGGTGTCACGCGGCTCTTGGCGGCGGCCAATGATATGTTAACGCTGCCGTCTGCTCGCTCCGTTCTCCAATACACGGCGTCTGCGTAGGCCTCCTCGCTTGCGTCGACGAATGTGTGTAGTTGCCGCGTCGACACTGAGTTGTAATCGTAGCATCGCGGTATTCTCAGTTGTTCTATGGCGTGAAGTGAAGTAATCCAGTCTTCCCATTTTTCTTTTAGCTCCTATTTTTCTTGTAGCAGTTTTTCATTGCCTAAAAACACGGACAAAAAGACATTTTCTAAAAATAAATCTTATCTAGATCGATTTATTATCCCCGAAACTCCCTGGACACTAAATTTTATGAAAATCGTTCCCGAATCCCAAATATATATATAATGTAAAACACTATACGGCTGGAACTAATAATACCAATCCCCTTTGGCTATATTCGTTCACTGGTATGTAGAAACTTCAATAATTTACACGCTCAGCTTTGGAAAAATTTTGTGCAATGTAGACAAGCTAGAGAGGCCCTGTCTGAAATAAACAGTTGTCTAACTAAGGTTGAGACTGATCAAGCCACAGATCAGGATAGTAACAACTATCACAGGATATGGCTCTTTTAACAAACATTTATTTACCATATGTGTAACAGATAGCCCTGCACAGGGCATGCATAGGGAAGGAAGAAATGGTGGCTCACATGTTGCTTACATGTCCGGAGGTCGCTTCATACAGGGCTAAACATCTCGGCATGCCGGGATCACTTCCCCAAGTTGCTTGCAACATCAAAGGACTGTTGAACTCCTTTGTGGAGATTTCATGGCTCGAATAATCACATTATTCCTGCGAACTCGCTAAATACGCGCTTAGACTTGGAGTTGCGGAAAACAGCCCATCGTAAACTAAACTAGTGTAAAATTATATGATTTTGAATACCCTACAGTATTTATATTGTGTGAAAATATAAATTATATGTAAAATAAATATTTAAAAATATATGTTGGCTACACATTATATTATCTTAACATTCTCAGGAACAAGAAAAAGTTGCAAAATTCTTTAAGTCCAACTACAATAAAGATATGCTAGAAAAGGAACTTTCGCTTAAAGGCTGGAATTGGGGTACAGCTAAATTCAATGGTGCAGTACTAAGCTTCAATGTTGGTTCAAACACTGCTTTTGAAATACCTTTACATTATGTTTCACAATGTAACACTGGCAAAAATGAAGTTACACTTGAATTTCATCAGGTAACTATGTTTGTTCACAATTCAAACGAAATACTATGATATACCTATAAAATAAATATGAAATTAACACAAATTAAGCATAGGGAGCCGTGGTAGCTCAGTGGTTAACGCTCGCTGTAAATATAACAGAACGCGAGTAACCCGGGTTCGATCCCCGCCGGCACCAATGAAATTGTTAATTGCAATTTTAAGTGCTGATTTACCACGTGCTCGGCGGTGAGGGAAAACATCGTGAGGAAACCTGCATGTCTGAGGAATAAGAAAAAAAAATATTTCGAAGACGTGTGAAGTTCGTCAACACTCATTTGGGCAGCGCGGCGGACACTTCCTTGCCCTAAACCCTCTCAGAAATGAGGGGAGGCCTGAGCCCAGCAGTGGGACGTATATAGGCTGTAACTTTACTTAAGCATAGGGAATATTGGTTACATGTTTTCTTATGTTATTTTAGAATGATGATACTCCTGTCTCATTGATGGAGATGCGTTTTCATATACCAACAAATGAGCTGGCAGGTGACATGGATGCTATTGAAGCTTTCCACCAACAGGTTATGAACAAGGCTAGCGTTATATCAGTTTCTGGAGATGCTATTGCCATCTTTAGAGAACTACAGTGTCTCACTCCTCGGTATGTAATTTGAAAATCAATAATTCCACTACGCATTGAATAAAACTTTACATACAGATTTTATCGCGTTTAATAAACTTAATAATAACTAATATGTTTATTAAACGCGATGAAATCGGTATACATATATAGTTTTATTCAATCAATTATTTTTGCTATTGTGATTAACACTAACACTAAAATTTATGATATTATGTGTATATTACTTAGTGCTTTTTTATTATTAGCTCTGAATAAAATTGTTTTCTATTACTTACAGACCACAACTAATGCAAAAAATATTATAAGTTTTTGTAATCTCTACAATTGTAATTGGATGGTAGACTATAATTAGTAAATTTCTACAATTTTTTTTTAATTACTGGTGTCTGAAAATTTGATCAGTTGCCTGTTTTATGTTAACCTAGATTTTGATTTTGGAAAAATATTTATATTAAATATACAACAAGATATTATGACATTGTGTAGTGGTTACCCAATACAATTTTTATGAAAAAGATTTGACAACTAATTCTTTCACTAAGCTTGTCTACTATTCTATTCATAAAACGTAATATTTAGCAATATATTATATAATCTCAATAATTAGCAAGCAATATTGTACAAGTTTTCTTTATTTACGATAAATATGTTACTATTTTCCAGTGGTCGCTATGACATCAAGGTGTTCCAGACTTTCTTCCAACTCCATGGTAAAAGATTTGATTACAAAATTCCAATGTCAACTGTACTAAGACTCTTCCTGCTGCCACATAAGGACACTAGGCAAATGTTTTTTGTGGTATCACTGGACCCACCTATCAAACAAGGTTAAACAAGGTACCATTATTTGGTACTATTGTTTGGTATTGAAGAGGAGACTAGTTTAGAACTACCATTTACGGAGTAAGTTAAATAAAGTAAAAAAAATTCTTAGCGTGTAAACATCTGAGAGATTTTTATGTAAAGTTTTTTGTCTAAAATAAAATTGTAATAAGTAGCCAAAAAACTCAAAACATGTGTAGTAAGTAGACAACAAGAAAACAAGTTATTTTTAGACCATTATATTATAATAATGTAAAAAAAATATCAAACATAGCAAGTTAAACCTGAGCATCTCAAATGTGAAACCTATCAACAGCACTTAAACTGTTAAATGCAATTTTGAGTGCCAATTACCCCATGTTTGGTGGTATAGGAATATATCCTGAGAATTCCTGCATGTTTTATGAATTAAGAATATTTTGAAGATGTGGGAATCCTAACATGCATTGAGGTTATGTGGTGGACTTTCTTTGTTCGAAAGACCCTATCATAAATATAAGGCCTGTGGTCAAGAGTGATTTGCGTAAATACATCATACTAACAGCAGTGTGGTATTATGCAGGTACAAAATATTTGACTGTATTTCGTATGTCTCAGTTGTTTAGTGGCTGATGTTTGGCTGCAGTCTGCAAACTCAAATCCCACAAGGATTAAATCTTAGATGGATGGTTTGTCAGGAGAAAATAATAATTAGGGGAAATATTTAAATAAAAACAAATAAGTCTGTCAATTTGCACAAAAGTACTCGGAGGACTCTTGTGCTACACATATATATGTTATTTTTATATTATATTTGTTATAATATGTCACTGTATGTTTTATACGTTGTAGACCCACACTGCAGCTATATTATGGTTGTAGCATGAATGGGTCGGCTTGACTGGGAAAGGACCACGCTCTCACAGAATACCAGCGAAAATTAGCAGCTTAATGCTGTTGTGTTTCGTATAATGAGTGTAGAGAACTAGAGACCCATTTTACTGGAATTGAGGCATTCCATCTTAGTCCTCAGAGGTGACAACGCACCTGCATTTGATTCTCAATCAAGATTAAATGTAGATGTCTATGGGCCGCAGCATCCACTTACCATCAGGTGGACTGTGTGCTTGTGCTTATTCTATAAAATAAAAATATACATAATGATAAGAGCACTGTGTGCCAAATTGTGGATCTATTACTTTGCACAACCAATCTAGTGTTAGGTTTGATTTCTTTAAAAAAATTTGTGATATTATTAATCAAAATATAATAAGTATTTGGCAAAAATTACCTTCATATCTTACAAATATATTAGTAACATTCTTTTCAATTTTACAGGGAAGAGTTGAAGGAGAAATATTAAGGTAAAATTACCAAAGAGCTTTCAGGGTCTACATATGAAGTACTAGCCAAAATTATGAAAGTAATTATAAACAGGAGGGTGACTGGTCCTGGTGACTTTTTAGGGTAAGAACAATTTATATAAGATCAAACGAACTTCTCAAGTGAAGTTCGATCATTATTATTGTAATGAGGGTACATTAAATATATAAGTGATTGATTGTAAAAGGCTCGTCGAACAGTCACGAATAAACCGTCAATCCGCTTACCCGTGTCTTATTTACGAAATACACTACAGTGGCGACGAGGATTAAGTTGTTTTTAATTTTCGGTAAATTGCGTGGACGCATATTATATTAAATATAATGTCAATCGGCAAAGTGAGTGAATTTAACGTCAAAACAGGAAACTGGACTTTATATGTGGAGAGACTAGAAATGTACTTTACGGTAAATGCAGTGAAAAACGCCGACATTAATCGCCGGTATGGGAGACGAAGCGTACGAATTATTAAGTAATTTCGAGTCCGATTAAACCGGGAGATAAATCGTATCAAGAAGTGGTAAAAATACTTCGGGAACATCTTCAACCGAAACCCTCGTTCATGGCGGAGCGATATCGTTTTCGACAAAGAAGACAGTTGAGCGGAGAAACGATTCCGCAGTATATAACAGAACTTAAGAAATTTTCGAAATACTGCGAGTTTCATTCAACTCTAGAGGACAATTTAAGGGATCAATTGGTGTGTGGGCTAAGAAGTAATGTCATCCGTCAACGATTATTCGCAGAAGATAATCTGAAATATTCCGTAGCCGTGAGAATAGCTTGCGCTTTAGAGGCGGCGGAGCGGGATTCGGTCGCGGTGGAGCAGGCGGGCGGCGGCGACGGGCTTGGCGGTAGCGGCGCGGACAGCGCATTGCATGTGGTGACGTCATCGACAAGCCGCGCTCGAACGCGGGAGCAGGACAGCGCACCGAGGGCTTTTAAAGGTCGAGAACATGGCGGCGGCAATGCGCTATATTGCAGCGCGTGCGGGTCGAGGTACCACCGAAGTGATGATTGCCGCTATAAGAAATTCGTGTGTGGTAAATGCAAACAGAGCGGTCATCTACGCCGGGTATGTCCCAAACGAGGGGGGTACACGGGAAATGCGGGCTCCCGACGCCACATGTACCATGTGGAGGCGGCAGGGTGCGAGACACCGTCAGCGGACGACGAGCCACCATCCGTGGAAAGTCAAACGGAGTTACAGGAGGATCTACACCATCTATGTTTAAATAGCTATAAACCGATGAGCCTAACATTATTATTAGACGGATTTAAACTTAATATGGAAATTGATACCGGGTCGGCAGTGTCTTGTATAAGTAAAGAGACTTATAATAAATATTTTTACACCAGACCTATGGACAAGTTCGATCTGGTTCTAAAATTTTATGATGGAAATCGAATCAAACCTTTAGGCATCATCAAGCCCGAAGTTAGATATGGAAATATAACAAAGCACTTTGAACTGTTTGTAATAGATGGGGGCACGACTTCATTGTTGGGTAAACAGTGGCTGTCGGAACTGCAAATTAAAATTCCGACATTCCACAGCATGGTGCTGGATGACCATTTTAATAACAATAATTTGTCATTATTATTCGACAGTTATAACAAGTTGTTTTCCGGCGGCTTGGGGCGGTTCGCGGGCGGCAAGGCGACGCTGCGAGTCCGGGAAGGGGCGACACCGGTGTTCTGCCGCGCACGACCTTTGCCCTACGCGCTCAAGGACCGCGTGGATGCTGAGCTGGATGCGATGCTTCGGGAGGGGGTTATTGAACCCGTGGAGAGCTCTGACTGGGCTACACCTCTGGTGCCGGTACTTAAGGCGGATGGTGGGCTCCGAATTTGTGCCGACTATAAAGTGACGCTGAACCCCGTATTGCTGGTCGATAGATTTCCCTTGCCTAGGATTAATGATTTGTTAGTAGGTATGAATGGCGCTAGAATATTCTCTAAAATCGATCTGTCACAAGCCTACAATCAGATCGAACTCTAAAAACCTTACCGTTATAAATACACATAGGGGCTTATTTACGTATAACAGGCTAGTATATGGGTTGTCATCAAGTCCAGGAATTTTCCAGCGTATAATGTCAAATCTTTTTCACGATATCGAAAAGGTAGAAGTATTTTTAGACGATATAATAATAGGTTCTTCTAATGAAAGAGAGCATTTACAAATATTGTAGAAGGTGCTTAGTAGATTACATAAAAACGGAATGAAGCTGAGGAAAGACAAATGTTTATTCATGGTGGACGAGGTCAAGTATTTAGGATATATTATTTCAAAAGATGGCATTAAAGTTGATCCTGACAAGGTAGCTGCTATAGTAAAAATTCCGCGCCCCAAGGACGTTTCGGACTTAAGATCATTTTTAGGATTAGTCAATTTTTACACTAAGTTCATTAAAAATTTAAGTACTACCTTAGCCCCACTTTACGGCTTATTAAAAAAGGGTGTTACTTGGAACTGGGACAGAAGTTGCGAGGACTCTTTTAAAAAAATTAAAAAAGTCTTAACCAGTGCTGAAGTATTATTGCATTACGATCAAAACAAACCGTTAATACTGATGTGTGACGCGAGCGCTCGAGGTATAGGAAGTGTGCTCACTCAGCCGTGCGCCGGCGCAACGGGAAGCGAGCGGCCGGTGGTCTATGTGTCGAGAGCTCTCAGCGACGCGGAGAAACATTATTCACAAATTGATCGCGAGGCTTTAGCAATTGTTTTTTGCTTAAAAAAATTGCATCAATACCTGTATGGTCGACGGTTCACCTTACGTACTGATCACAAGCCGCTTGTCAGTATTTTTGGCCCAAAACATGGCATTCCTTTAATGGCTGCGAGCCGATTGCAGCGTTGGGCGATTACGGTATCCGCTTACTCTTATGACATAGAGTACGTTAGTAGTAAACAGAACTGTGCGGACGGCTTATCTCGTCTACCAGTATCGGTTCAATCCACAAAGAACGAATGTTTAGATTTACCTGAACAAACGTATTTACATTTCGTTCAAAGTGAAATGTTACTGGATTATAATGAAATTAAATAACAAACCCAGCGCGATCCGATTTTAGGTAGAATTATACTATACTTAAGAGAAGATTGGCCCACCGATAATGAGGTCAAATCATTGCAACCGTATTTTAACCGAAAAAAGGAACTATACGAAGAACTAGGGTGTATCATGTGGTGGGGTCATAGAGTAGTCATAACGGAGAATTGCAGGGGTAGGGTGTTAAACGAACTCCACGAAGGCCACATGGGAATCGTCAAAACGAAGGCAGTAGCTCGAAGCTATGTGTGGTGGCCGGGGATCGATGAGGCAAACGAAACGATGTGCCGAGCGTGCGTCGTGTGTGCGGCCGAGGCGGACGCGCCCCAACGCCACACTCCAAGCCCGTGGCCATGGCCAGCTAAGCCTTGGTCTCGTATACACATAGATTTTTTAGGGCCAATGTTCAATAAAATTTACTTGGTAATAATTGATGCCAGAACTAAATGGCTAGAGGTGTTTTATGTACCGAGTACAGCAGCTAGCCACACTATAGTTAAACTTTCCAAAGTTTTTGCTAGGTGGGGTCTACCTAAACAATTAGTATCAGACAATGGGCCGCCATTTACCAGTAGGGAATTTTTTCAGTTTTTAACAAATAATGGTATACAACATGTTTTCACCGCACCGTACCACCCGGCTTCAAACGGTGCCGCGGAAAACGCAGTACGCACTGTCAAGAAAGTTATTAAAAAGGCAGTGAGGGAAAATAAAGATATAAATTTATTTTTAAACACTTTCCTATTGCATTATCGAAATACCGAACATTGTACTACGGGCGAAAGTCCCGCTTCTCTCATGTTAGGAAGAAGATTACGTACTAAACTAGACGTACTTAGACCGGATATTGAGAATAAAATTATTGAAACTCAAATAAACCAGAAAGAGAACGCTCCCACTGGTGAACGTGGCCTGCAGCCGGGTGATGATGTATGGCTTCGCCAATATCAGGGGAGCGACAAGTGGGCAGCCGGACAAGTGACGCAACGTTTGGACGTAACGGACTACAAAGTTTTAGACACTAGGTAAGGAGTCACATAAGCATATCGACCAGCTAAAACGTAGCACTGATTTGTCCCCGTAGTAGTAATAGTCAGCCAAATTCGAGTTCCGAGTCTTTGTCTTGCTCCGGTGCAGAGGAAATTAATGCGCCTAGAATAAACCCTGCCGTAACAGACACCGGGAGGAAATCAAAAGCACCGGAGGGAACTGAAATAATAGATAAGAGTGATTGCTTAGATACGGCAAGGGAAACGTCAACACTTCGTGCTCCATCAGCTTATACGTCGCCTGTGCCGCCCGCAACGCCGCCCCAGGTCTTCCGGCCGGTACGCAAGTGCCGTTTGATACCCCCCCCCCCCCCGCTATAAAGAGTAGTTACCATCGCACTATATTATTTTTATATACTTCTTTTTTTTAAAGTTTCAAGATTTTTTTCCTTTCCTGTATAACAGTATAGTATAAAATACTTATATGTATAACTAATTGTAAGTCTTAATTAAGGGGGGAGGATTGTAATGAGGGTACATTAAATATATAAGTGATTGATTGTAAAAGGCTCGTCGAACAGTCACGAATAAACCGTCAATCCGCTTACCCGTGTCTTATTTACGAAATACACTACAATTATATGAATCGCTTCATTTGAAGATATAATTATTCACCAGGTAGTCTCCTTAACCTACAGGTGACTATGCACGCTTTAAAAGACACTCAACTGACTAAAGTTGGCTGTGAACCGACTTACCCCTACCGCTGACTCGGGGACGGGGTGAGTCGCCATTCTGAGCTCATTATTTTTAGAGTGTAGAGAAAAACTTTCCGTATTAGGGCTAGCAAACTACTGCTATGGGAGGGTGGGTAATGGCTTATATCTTCAAGTGAAGCGATTCATATAATAATGACCGAACTTCACTTGAGGAGTTCATTTGATCTTATATTATATTTCATCGCTTCATTTTTCAGATATAATTATTCACCAGGTAGAATTTTAGAGCAGGAAGTTTTTCGTTGTAATAAAATAATATATATTTCTTAGAATATATTTATTAGTTACTGATCGGTACAGAAACGTTATGTAATCACGATAATTTGAACAATTAGTTTTTGTATTTATGAATACAGAAAAAATCTTAAACTAATGATTGGACGTAAAGCAAAAGGATCTTGCAAAGTTCCTCTCATCAACAAGGGTTCTATTGTAAAATCGCGCAAAAGTATTCGATGTAGGAGTCCATCCGGCAATTGTACCCCGCCCATGCGATTTACATAACTAATGGCTGTAATGTTATCTACCCGTAATAGTATCGCGCAATTAGTTTCTTTAGATGCCGAGCTTTTGAGTCCAAGAAAAATTGCCAATAGTTCCAGATAATTTATATGGTAATTGCGTTCGCTAATTGACCACCCTCCGCGAGCGCATTCTTCATCGCGCACTGCGCCCCAGCCGGTTCGTGAAGCATCTGTGTAGAGTTCAATTTTATAGCCCGCGTTTCGCATTGGATCCAGTTATTGGTCCACCAAGTAAGATCTTCAAGTATAATACTAGGTAAATTGATTTTACGCTCATAATTCTGATTTTCAACTAGCGTTCCAATAACTTGGTATAACCATTTAATTGAGAAAATTCTCGAATAGTGCATGTGGGTAGACAAATAAACTTCTGAACTAATTGCGCAATACTCTTAAGTTTATTATCTGGGAGAGGAATGGTTAGATTCTTAGTGCAAAAGAGAAAACCTAGGAATTTACAACTTTGCTTGGGTTGGAGAGAGCTTTTATCAAAATTTATAAGGAAACCTAGACATTGTAATAGTTTCAAGGTTTCATTTTACGTTAGATCTGCAATTTAGGGAGGCCTAAGTTTTGCCGATGCAGAGAATATCATCTAGATAAATTACTGAATTAGAAGCCCGCGCTTCTCAAGTGAGTTACGATTTCTCTCATAATCTTATTAAATACCCTGGGAGCCACTGACAGCCCATAGGGCATTGACGTGAACTCGTAGGTCGTGGTCTTATGGTTTCTCTTAAATTGAAATCTTAAATACTTTCTATGTTCAGCATGAATCGGAATTAGTAAGTAGGCTTCTTTCAGATCAATTGTTTATTTATTTATTTATTTATTTATTTGCCATTACGTTACATTACGTAACATTGGTACGTCAAAATTACAATTACAATTATATAGATACAATAATATAGTTAAAATTACAAATTATACAATTACAATAATATAATTAAGATACATCTCATTTACAGTACATTATTTTATGTGTCAAACAAGTCAAAAAATGAACATTGCATATATTCTTCTATGTTGTAAAAAGCGTGATTTAAAAAGAATGTTTTTATCGCTTGTCGGAACGCATTTAGCGGAAGTCTTGTTATTTCTATTGGCAATTTATTGTACATTATAATTTTTATTGCAAAACCTTGCTTGAACACTTTGACTAATCTGGTTCTTGGAACAACTAATCTTTCGCGATTTCTAGAATTGTAGTTATGTACGTGCTTCTTCATTGGTAGTTTACTTTTTTCCTGGTGTACTTCTAGAAGCGATCTATAAATATATAACGAAACGACAGTCATAATTTTCGCTTTTTGGAAATAGGCTCTAGCTGATGTCGATCTTTGCAATCCATGTATAATTCTAATCGACCTTTTTTGACAAATCAGTACTCTTTCAATTTGTGTAGCATTTCCCCATATCGTAATCGCGTAGCTAATAATTGAGTGACAATATGCAAAGTAGACGGATATAAGAGTTTTCTTGTCAAAAACTTTTTACAGACGTTATCTATATGGGTTTCATAACTTAAAGTGGAATCGAAAGTACACCCTAAAAATGTAACGTCACTTTTTGTGACTTTATTTGTTTTTTTGCTTGCATAATTAATAATGATACTTTTTTCTGCATTCAAAATTATTCCGTTTGTTTCAAACCAATTTTTAAGCATATTTAAAATATCATTTGTCTTCTTGGATACTTGGACTGCATTTTTATCTTTAACACCAACCTGTGTATCATCCGCGAATAGTGTAACCATCGCCCAGTCAGGTAAATTATTTGCAAGGTCGTTCACATACACTAAAAACAGCAATGGTCCCAGGATAGAGCCCTGCGGAACGCCAATGTAACTATGTTGTGAATCAGAGTTAGTATTATTTAAATTAACTATTTGCGTTCGATTGTTAAGATAAGACTGCATTATTTTCAATTCTTTTCCTTCAAATCCGTAGAATTTTAATTTATAAACTAAGATATCATGCCTCAGACAATCGAACGCCTTAGATAAATCGCAAAAAATGCTAGATACCTTCTGCGATCCATCCAACGCGTCCAATATAAAGTATACTGTTTTTCTAATAGCCATTTCCGTTGATCTTTTTTTGCGAAAACCGAATTGACAGTCTGTAAATAGATTATTTTTTTCAAAGTAGTCTAATATCCTAGATTTTAAGACAGTTTCTAAAATCTTTGATATAACTGGTAATATACACACCGGTCTGTAATTACCAATTTCAATAGTTTGTCCTTTTTTGAACTGTGGCACAATTTTTCCTATTTTTAAGCTATCTGGGAAAATTCCTTCTATAATGCAATCATTCAAGACTTCCAATATTATATCAAACATGTCTTTGTTGTGGATGATAAGTTCTCTAATAGTTTTTGTTGACATATCGTATATGTCTCTAGACGTTTTACATTTTAAACTATGAATAATATTCCAAAATTCAGAATTATTTATTTTATGAAAGCGAATTTTATTATTTGTTGGGTTTTTTAAATATTTGCTACATTTTTCAACCTTAACCTCTAAATTTTCCGTAAGTTTACCAGCTATATTGCAAAAGAACTCATTGAAACTGTTTGCCATATTTTTATTATTTGTAATTATGTCCCCATAGTGATTTTTAATTTTAGTAATTTTATTTATTCTTTGTGTTTTAACATGATTTTTTTGTTCCTTAATAATAGTCCAAGTAGTTTTAATTTTATTCGTGGAATTTTTAATTCTAGACGCGTTCCTAAGTTTTTGGGCTGTTTGTAGTACTTTTCTATATATTCTCTTATATCTATTTAGATTGGATTTTCTAATTTTATCTGGATACAAGTTATGCAATATTTCGAGTTTTTGAAGATTATTTCTAGATATCAAAATACCCTTGGTTGTTAGTTTATTCTTATTTTTTATAGGTTTTATTGTTTTTAATGGAAATGCAGTGTAATAACAATATTGTATATAGTCTATAAGAATGTTCATTTTCTCATTTGCGTCAAGTTTCAAATTTACATCCTTTCTTACACATTCAAAGTCTTTACAGAACAAGTAATGAAAATATTTTATATTTTCCTGAGATATTATTCTAGATCTAACCTCACAGTCTTCTCCTTTGGTTTAGGATATTTAGAATTCAATTTATACTTTAATTCTATGACGTTATGATCTGATAACTTTACGTCTAATACTTTACCCCTGTGATACTGAAAATCATCATCGTCATTTAAAATTAAATTATCAATACATGTGGAAGACTTCCCTTTGGTTCGGGTTGGCTCATTTAAGACGAATTTACATTTTAATTCACTCAATAGTTTTAAAAATTTGGATACTTTATTATTTGGTTTCAATAGGTTTAAATTAAAATCTCCTGCAATTACAATTCTTTTGTTTTCCCTCCCTATTTTTTCGATAACTTTAGTCATAATATCTTCGAATATTAAATAATCATAATCAGGTCTATATACACAAATAATAACTAATTTAGACGATTTTACTTCAATTGCCGCTAGTTCACAATTCATTTCAATACTCAACTTTACAATGTCATGTCTTATTTTATATTCAAGTGAGTGTCTAACAAAAATAGCTGTACCTCCATGTTCAAATAGCATCCTATTGTAATATGATACAAGTATAAAGCCTTCAATAGTCATTACGCCCAATTTCAATTCATTGGTCCAAGTCTCTGTTAGACAAAGCACATCACAAGTTGTATTTTCTGTTAATAATTTTAGCTCTAAATATTTATTATTAATACTCTGAATATTAGCATGCACAATCGTTAACCAGTTAATGGAGTCTTGGTTGTGTCTAAAAAATTTAGTGAACAATTTAAATTAGAATTTAATTTGATAAAGTGCAAACAAGACGAAGCATTAAAGTGACTATCTTTGATACTTTTAACAGTTTCCTCAATCACTATATTTTTTACATTTACCTTGACTTTTACATTTATTTCAAGATATCTGACATTCTCAGATACCGCAGCTAGATTAAAGAGTTCTTTATTAATAGTAAAGATTTTATCATCATTTATGTTGTCGTATATTATACTTCCTAACAAAATGTTGAATTTTCTATTTTCTTTGCTCACAATTCTTCGAATTTCATCCACATATGATGTCCCCATTTTAATGTCGTAGTTTCCTATTAGTATTACCGCTAAGTCATTTTCTTTCAAATCTTTGGTATATAAATCAAAGTGCTTCAATATTTGTTTATGATTTCCCCCCTGTTTGACAGTAATTTGTTATTTTTGTATTTTCCAATTGTTGCATTAGTTTGATTGCTAGTCCACTCCCTATTCTGTCCGAAAACATTTCTATTCTTGTCAGTGTTTTTGTGTTCTCTTTTCTTTTTCCGCTTTGTGCCCTGTCTCTTTCTGATGTTTCTATTTTATTTCCTTTTCCTTGCAGCTTTGAAGAGTAGTTTTCCTGCTTATGTATTATTTCTTGTTTTTTCTGGACTTTCGTTGATATTTTTAGTTTAGTAAGTGTTTCCAATTCTAATAATTTATGTTGTATTCTATTCTTCTCTATCTTTAAGTTTTTCAGTTCTTTCTGTAATTTTCGAACCCTCTTATTTTGTATTTTAATTTTTTTAAGAAGGTTTTTAGTTGCATATTTAATTTTAGGTTTTAATAGCAATTTAATTCTTTTATTCCTTTTTATTTTAATATTTTGTGAGCTCGGATTATCATCGGTTTGAGTTACTGCGTTTTTTTGAATTTTATTGAAATGTTGTGTTTTGTTTAAACTGCTAGCTGGCTTGGGTGACATACCGCGTATTTTTTCAGGTCCTAAAGTTTGTATAGCTCTTAGTGATTTAATCACCATCTGGCAGTTTTCTAGTTCCCTTTGCAAGTCATTGTTCTGCAATATCAAATTATCTACTTCTGTATTAGCAGCTTGAAGAGTTTGTTTTAGTTGTTCAATTTGCATTTCTAATTCAATCATCCTTGAGCTATTGTGTATAGATACGTCTGGAAGGCTCCTTAAACTATCACCGTACATAATAACGGAATCATTGGTTATTGAGCCCTCCAAGCATGCTACATCATTTTCGGAATTATAACGCCGCATGCGTCTGAATGTTATGTTGCTATAGCTTGTATTCATCTTAAATTTGCTTACTTTCCTACAATCTATTTATATTCCTATAATAAGGATTTGGTGCTACTGCTTTTCTGTTTCTTTAGGTTTATTCTTTGTAAGTTATTAAAGGCTGTCTTAAAGAAACATACAAAAAGAAGTCGAATTATATCGTTGTAACGCGTCGCACTCACCACTAGGCTAGCTGGCTTGTTTGATGAATGGTGAATTTAAGTATTATATTCCGGACTAAATTCATTTGAGGTACTAGAGACACTCGTTATTTGTTTTGTTTTGCGAGAAGTTATTAACATTCACCTTCATTTGCAAAAGAAAACAAAATCACTTTTCGTTCAGTTTTTGATCAAAATCTAGTATTGAAACAAAGTTTTTAGCCACTGCCACACCACTAAAGAGTCTCACCACTATTTATGCACGTAAATAATGACATTTTGAGATATTTAGTGCACTTTTTACACTGTTTTCATTTAATTTTTTGAGGACGACATAACAGATCGACCTTTCGCTTCGGGTCCTACCCCATTACTCTATGTGGCTAAGTATCCGTGTTGGGGTATTAACTTTGCCGCTGTTCGATAATCGTCCATCTTGAAATGAAACTTTGAAACATTTATTTAACGATTTCAAATTTAATATAAAACGCTTGCTGCTGTTTGTCTTGGAGGCAAGGTATTTTAAAGACAAACTGGTCTCTACTTGGAAGACATTCTGTTATAGCACCTAAGTCAATCAGCTTTTGAATCGCAGTTGACATTTCCTGGTGCTCTAACTCCGAAAGGGTATTGCTAGGAAAGTTTGTTTGGCAGACTTCCTTGCAAAAAGGTATGTATAGACCATTTTGTATCCAATCTAAAATATTTAATTCTACCTGCATGTACCTGAGTTACTGCGGCGCTGGGGCACGAGACTTGTTCGCTGCTGAAGGCTTCGATGCTGGCTGCTGTTGCGTCGAGCTCGGGTATGGACGGCGGCTCTGCGTCGACGTTTTCTTCCCACCTCGGTTGCAGCGGTTCATTGAGTACCGAGGTGGGCCGGGCCAGTTTCCAGAACTAGAAGAGCGGTTGCTAGTGGATTGAGAGCCGTAAGGTTTCGTATTAATCTTTTTGATTTGCAGACCCTGTCGTTCAATAGCTCTGGCTGCCTTGATCTTTTCTGAAAGTTTATTACCGAACAAAGTTTCGTCTCTTACTGAATCTTGAACTACATGGAGAAAGTTCTTATCCAGGATTGGTGTAATTAGCTTTATGCGGCTATTCGTATTTATCGTATGCAAATCCGAAAGAATACGGCAGGCATTGCTAAGATGTTGGATAGCATTCTTCCTGTCGTCCTCACTTAAGAGAATATTGAGCGCCCTGTTAATGGCCGTTTCCCCGACCCGAGTTGCTGTTGGTGAACTACCAGGATCTTATCTTTGTTTCTTACAGAGTCTATAACTGCTGCTGATATTTCTGCGTTTAGTTTAGGTTCTTGCAGCAACCTACAGTTGTCCGGTACTTCTTCAGAATTTTTTCCTTTTTATCTTTTGGCAAGCCTTTGACGAGTAGAGGAAGCCACAATTTGGCTAAACTCTCGTGAATTCTTTCTCCAAACTCTGGGGTATCGCTGGTGGACTCACTGAGGGCTTCTAAAAGTTCAGGGTCCAATTCTGGTTCAGATGATTCACCGTTCGGGTTTTGTTCCGTCAAAGTTACCTCTAAAGCCAGTGGCTCTAATGGTTTCTCCGCCCTGATCTCTGGTCTAGACTCTTGGCTCCAGTGTGGGCTCAGGTTCCGGTGTAAGCTCGGGCTCCAGCATGGGCTCAGGTGTTGTGGAACTCTGCCCTAAAGCAATACCGAGGTCTTTCGTGTTAACTATAAGGTTTAGCTCAGGGTGGTCGGCGTCTTCAACACCTAAAAATAATATTTTTAGGATTAGAAAAGTGGACTACTTCAACGAACGAGGCTCACGCCCTGCCCTGATGAAGAATTTTGTTTCAACGAACGAGGCTCACGGCCTGTCCTGATGAAGGTAATTTTTCAACAAACAAGGCTCACGGCCTGTTCTGATGAAAGCTGATAACACGTGTAAAAACAACACGTGCTAACGAAACAAATGTTACGTAATCTTGAAATAAATAAATATGCTTACCTTCATTATTAGAAGATTCTGATGATATGACCCGTATTCGGCGATGTCGTGCGACATCGCGTTCACGTAATTTTCTAATTTTGCGTTCGTAACGCTCGATTTTTTCTTCCGCACTTCGTTTTGGCATTATAAATTTTTAATTATAATTATAAATACTTTACAAAAAAAAAAGGCAAGAATAAAGTGTAAACTTATTGGGAGACGCGTGCTGTCGTCACCGTGCACGAAATAGGAATGAGCTCAGAATGGCGACTCACTCCGTCCCCGAGTCAGCGGTGGTAGGGGTAAGTCAGTTCACAGCCAACTTTAGTTTAGTCAGTTGAGTGTCTTTTAAAGCGTGCATAGTCACCTGTAGGTTAAGGGGACTACCTGGTGAATAATTATATTTGAAAAATGAAGCGATGAAATATAATTTATATTATTAACACAATTTTATTATTTCGCCTTCTTTACCTTTTGTTTCAATTTTGCAATTGATTTTGATATTACTTTTCAATGTGCTGAAGACTTGAAATGTTAAACATAGAAATCATCCGCATACAACCGAGAACGCAAAATTAATGCGTTCTCGGTTGTATGCGGAGTCCCCAAGGAATTGACTTATAAGTTGGGAACTAACAACCGTACGAGAGGCTCCAGTGTCTATGGTCAGTTTACACGGCATTCCGTTGACCTCGCCCTTGATGATTAGACTGTTCCCATCATGGGTTTGTGAGATCGAGATCCTTGGGGCTCTTTTAACATCAGCCAGCACCCGCCCCGCAGTTCTGGCTTTTACTCGTTTCCCTGCTGCTGCTGGGCGGTGCTGTTGGCCGCACTACCCTCCTGAGATCGTTCACCTTCCCTTTCTAGGGTTAGCTTAGGGCAGCTGGATCGAAGATGGCCCTTTTCCCCACAGCCATAGCACCTTGGGCTGTATCCTTTGTTGCGGTCGCGAACTGTAGCTGCTGCAATCTCCCTGGCGCGATGGGAACGATGATCCTGCCGCACGGCTTCCACTTCCAGTGCATGGGCCAAGGCGTCCTTAAGCGTCTCGTGGTGCCCGAGCCTCACAGCAGCTCTGACTTCCAGGTCGCGGATGCCGTCGATGAATGTCTGCACCAGGTTCCCTTCAATGAGCGCAGGTACAGACCGGTATGCTTTTCGCACCAGCTTCTCCACTTCTAGAGCCCACTGCTGCAGGTTTTCGTTGATGTGCTGCACACGATCTTTAAGCTGCGCACGAAAGACGTGTTCCAGGTGAGCGTCGCCATATCTCGCCTCCAATGCCTCAAGGAGTTGCTCATAAGTCACTTTCTCACCGAGAGCTTCCAGAACTGTTAAGGCCTGGTCACGCAGGCCTAGTGTGAGAGCAGTCATGGCCTGATTTTTATTCCAGCCGTTCGCCTTCATAACAGCTTCGAACTGGATTTTGTAGGCTGACCAGGAAGAAGTACCGTCGAACGGTGGCACCTTGAACCCACGTAGCGAAGGTGTTGTAGCTACTACGGGAGCTGTAGCTCCATCTCCAAGTTTGAGTTCGTCCAGTGATTTCTTCATGTCAGCCATTACGTTGTCAACCCGATTGTTTACTTGGTCGATTCGGGTTTCAGCTTCCGACAATCGGTTGTCATGTTGCGCAACCTTATCCTTCACCTCCCGTATCTCTTTTCCGAAGGTAGCGTGAAGGTCCTTCATGAGGAGCATCTGTTCCAACCGACGGGCCTGTTCCTCTTGTCGGCGGGCCTGTTCATCCTGTCCGCCCCGCAGCTGCTCTTCCAGCCGACGGACCTGTTCCTCCTGTCGGCGGGCCTGTTCCTCCTGCTGGCGAGCCTGTTCCTCCTGTCGCTCTTTCAACCCGTTGGACCTGTTCCTCCTGTCCGCCCCGCAGCTGCTCTTCCATCGGCGTGCCTGTTCCTCCTGTCGGCGAGCCTGCTCCTGCAGCATCACCATCAGAGCACCTAAGTCAGGTGCTGCAGATGTAGGGGCTACTGACGGGCCTGCAGCCGGTGGCTGGCCCTCCGACGTCTGCGGCGTTGCACCACCAAATCTTCTTTGGTCCGTCTCCTGCTGGCGTTGACTTCGGGTACGGACACCCTCCGTTTCCTCCTTAGGTAAAATCGGCATGATTTTATCCCACTTCTGACACCAATTGTTACGAGCTTGAGGTTCGTGACAATAAAAATTGCCGATAAAATTACCTAAATTAACACTTTAATTTACTTTACACAAATTAAAACTTAAAACACTAATAATTAAACACACTAATTCACTTTATTCCGCTCCGAAGCTTCGCTTGTGTCGCCAACTCCAATACTTCCCCGATCGCATCTTGCAGCATCAGAGCAGCCTATATATACAAATTAGCAATGAAGCATCCGGAATATTCAAGTAAATGCGCGCAAAGCGACGAGTGTTCGAGTGTAGATTTTCTAGAAACTTAGTTCTTCGGATGGCGCTGTCGGTTGAAAGATTTGTGATGTCACACTACTCTTAAGACAAGGTATGGACCTTGTCTTATGAGTAGTGTCAGGGTGCTCAGTTGCCAGATTGCTAAATTGTTCTTATCAAATTACGACAAAATATTTTCAATCATGGGATTTATCATTTATCTCTAAATAGTAAAAATATGTATGTCTCTGAGAGATGGTTATGTTTGTACAACTTGCTAAGTTTTTTTTTCTCGCTTAGTCTGTTGCGATATGTAACCGGAGCTAAAGTCTTCAGACGATACCGCGCGAAGCGCTAAACTGATTGCACCTTAGTTTTGTTGCTACGACCCCTATTTGAATGAAATGTTTTGTTTAAAACTTCCTCATGTATTTATTATCAATATAGTGCGGTGGTTTAGAAAAAAACGCTTCTCTCCTTTTATCTGTAATTCCGTCTAAAATTGTTTGTTTCTAATTTGTTTTCTGTATGGATACTAGATGAAAACATTATTAAACATTATTAAACAATATTAATCAGTAATAGAAAATATGATCGAACTGAATCCTAAATTATCATTAATAAAATCATTTATATAATATTAATATTTCTGCATAATAGTTGTCTGTTTCAAAATGTTAAGAAAACAGTTTCATTTGATTAAAATCAAAAACCATATTTCGCAGAACAAAGAATCAAAGAAAGACAAGAAGGGTTCATCTTCAGAAGCTGAAGCAACTTCAGGATCTGGGGTGGCAGCGGCAGCGATTAACTTAGTAATAAGTAATAAGTAGTGCTGAAGAAACCACAAACCTCACAATGTTTTAAGATTATGAATTGGATTATTATCTATTGTGTATTTATGTTTGCTATAAAAAAATTCCAATAAAATACACCTAAACTTCAGAAACTGTATGTGTTCGAATTTGAGCAAATTGCCATATTAAAAAAAGCATTTAAATAACATGTTAAAGTTTCAATTGAGAATGCTGTCTATTAGGAGTTCAACAAACTTATTGCAATTGTACTATTTCTCAACGTATCAAACTTTGTTATGGATGTAGTAACATTTTTTGTAATAATTATGATTGTTTAATATTATTTGTTGTTGTACAACTCCAAGATTGTTCATATTGTATATCCAATAGTTTTCAACTAAATAAGATTCAAAAACTATTAAAAAAATAGTCCTCACAAATGTTTAATCCAACACAATATGTTGGGACATGGATATTATTAATCTTTTTGTACCTTTTATTATAATATTAAGCCATACGCTGTCCGGGTACTACATATAGTTCATTTTTACTGTCTTTCAATCGTGTCTGAAAATCGGACAGTGAAATTGTTAAGAATGAGCTAAGGCAAATTTTATTACTTTGGTGGAGTACATATATATTTTTGTTTGGTTCAGTTCAAATTTGTTGTTCAACCCGAAAAGAACGTGCATAATTCTCACTAATAGTTAAACGATCTAGAATAATAAACTTTTTCAAGTTTCATTCTTTTTATTTATTCACGAAATACAAGTGAATTCAATAAATACTATGATTATTGCTGTGATATTAAAAAAGTAGTAAAGGCAACTTAAAAACTAAATAGTTTTTTTTTTATTATAGACATAATATATATTTTATAAATAAGTTTCAGAGACAGAATATTACTATACTTATTCTTAGCGCCATTTTTTTTCATTAGGACATAGGTTTATCTTTTGGGCCACTTTTGTGCAATGAGTGTACTTAAATACAGTTTCGTTTAAAACTGAAACGAATACTGCTGCGTGGGGTTCCGAAAGCCATTAATTCACGTCGCGTCGGTTCCAAAAGCAAATTACTATGAACGTTTTTAAACTAGTAAAAATAGTCCCATAACGCCATTAAATGAATAATTGTCTTTTACAAGATTACTTTGTCACGATAAAGATAAAATTAGTTAAATTTATTATTATTAAAATACGTAAACTTCTACAACGTCTTAATGTTATATTCCTACGGTATAAATACTCAGGCAGATCCGTCAGTATATATTGTACTTAAACTAACAGAAGAAAATGACAATAAATAGAATATATGCATTTCAATTGAAGTAAAACCTCGGTTAAGAATCAATATGCTGATACGCAGTGGCGTAGCTACCTTGGGTGGCTGGCATCCGGTGCGGAAGTTGGTGGTGTACCTCATCGAAAGTAAAAAAAACAATAAATTATATGATAAAGGACATGGATCATTTATTATTTATAATATTGAAGAAATAAAACACAGTAGTAACTAAGAGGGCCCCGAGTTCCCGGCGCCCCTTTAATGGGGCAGGGGTGCGAAGAATCTGCGGGAGAAAAACCGGCGACGAGGTTCGCCACCCGTCACGTTCTGTCTCCCGGAGGGGCGAAAAGTGGATTGCGGAAGCCCGTCTGGCTACGCTGAATGTATGTGGAGCAATGAATGATAAGATGAATGAAGTATGCGAAATGATGAATGACAGAGGAATAGATGTGTTATGTGTAAATGAGACGAAACGAAAGGGAAAGGATGCCACTGCACATGGCACGTATACCGCGTATTGGTCTGGTGTAGAAAAAAAAGTAATGTGAAAGAGTA